ATTATTGAAGTGTCGTGTGCTTCCTGTTTTATTTTGCAAGTCTGTGTCTTATATCAGTGCGTTCAGCTTTGTGCTCTCCCTGTCTCGTCAGTGTAATCAGCGTCAGCCGTGTCTCCCAGCTGTTTCCTCTTCGCTCCGTTCTCCTCTTGTATTTAGTGTCTGCGTCTTCCCATACTCGTTGTCGCGTCGTACCCTTACGTTAACTGTGTGTTCCGTCTGCTAGCCTGCCTGCCTGCTTAGTTTATTTTTGTATTCTCAGTTTACTTAAGTTTCTGTTCTGTTGCTATCCAGCAATAATGCTGAGTGTTTTGAGTTTACGTCTTCCTCCGAGTCCTGCATTTTGGGTCCTTTCTCCCTGCCTGCCTGCACACAGCCATGATACATATTGACTGTTTTGTGTGTCATCCAGACAGGGGCAGCAATTTCATGTAATGCTACATTCCCTGATACAGACTGTTAGACCTCTAAACAGGACTGTACATGCATGATACAGAGGGAAAACAGATTAATATGTTACTTGAAAAAATACATTCGCTTAGATAAGCATTAGTAGGTGTCAAAGAAGTAAAATATAAGACCTTTGGGTTAGATATAAAGCGATTTGACAAATCATGTCTGATAATACAGTTGTACATGAGTATGGCATTTATTGATGTAATTTGGGTTTTAAATAGTCATCAGCAGAAAAGACTCAATCCTGACCTGAGAATTTCCAGTGTACACTGTGGACTCTCCACTGCAACAAACAGAATATTCAATCCTGAATCCTGCAGATTGTTGTTACCCAGGTCCAGCTCTCTCAGACTAGAGGGCTGTGAGCTGAGAACTGAGGAAAGAACTTCACAGCTTCTCTCTGACAGGTTACAGACTTTCAGTCTAAAAAAAATGTCAACAAGCAAGACATGTAACGCTTGTGTTAAAGTATATCCATGGTGCCATGAGGAGCTATTTGATTCAGCAACAGTTTAACACCTTTTCTGGACATGGGAATTCGTATCACCTTATTTTAAAAAAGACAGAAATGTGACAGTTTACTATGACTTGGCCTGAAATGCTTAGGGAAAAAATACACACAAACGCACAGGCCCAATTTTTATTTATTTATTTTTTTGGAAATTGATTACATGGTAGTAATTTCTGAAAAAACTCCTTGTTCTTACCTTAGTGTTTCCAGTTTGCAGTAAGGACTCTTCATTGCAGCGGACAGACGCTTCAGTCCTGAATCCTGTAGGTTGTTGTTACTCAGGTCCAGCTCTGTCAAACTAGAGGACTGGGAGCAGAGGACTGAGTACAGAGCTTCACAGCTTCTCTCTGACAGGTTACAGCCATTCAGTCTTAAATAGAGGGGAAATGGAGACAAGATGAAGACAACATAACTCACACAGAGGCATGGGACCAAAACCAAAGATCTAGAAATACAAAACCAAAACACAGACAGCACTAATCCCGCAAATAAATAATAAACAAACCAAAACACTGGGTCACAGACCCAGGACTGTGACAAATGGATAAACAAAACACAACTCTTTGTTCAGAATTAATACAAGGCTCCTTAAGACTCCTTGTTCATATTGTTTAATTATTTGTAGAATAAAAAGACCAGAATTTTAATATATTCGATTAACAATTAAAAGCAAATGTCAATAATTGAAAATAATAATAAAGCTGAGAAAACTTTTATAAATGTGTGTAATTTTCTGTCTCTTTGATGTCTGAAATATTTTATGCTGTATTTGTATTTTTTTTAAGCCAACAGTTGTGTTTTTACTGCAAGTATACTAAATATTTTATAGATACCTAATCTATATAGTCAACTTCAAATGCTCTACAATTTCAACAAATAGGATTCTGTAGTTTTAAGGATGAAGTGAATTCCCATCATTTAAACATAGGCACAAAACCTAAGCCTAGCTTAAGTCAATTAATAAAATTCAGCAACCATTCTACACATTACCAACAGCTCCACATTTCCTACCTCTGTACCTGGATAGTATTTGCTTGCAGCACCACCTGGCCCTCTCCTCTGCTTCAGGTCGCATCATCAGGAAATCATCATCATATTCTGTGTTAGGATTTATTTTTATTTGTGTTGGAAAATGTTTGTGGCCACATTTCTCACAACCAGCATCGTGGCAGTCTTTAGAGCTGAAATAGCTCCACACATGACTCACCTTATGATCATTACCTGAGTGAGTTTGCCAACATGAGCCATGATGCATTTATACAGCTGTATTTCATATATCACTATGACAGGTGGAAGAAATAGTTTCTACTAATCATTTAGACAATCCCAATAATATACTTAATTTCAACTGTGTTCCTGTTAATCACAGACAACAAATTTGATCCAGATTGATAGAATACTGATATTTTAATATGAGAATCGATTCTGGAACATAAATATTTGGTATCAGAAGACTCTATATTTCAGGATTAATCCACACACTACTACTTACTTTAACAAAATACCAAAGCTAATATAGTGGGTAAATAAGAATTGAATGGTCTGTTAATTTATTTCTATATTTGTTTTTATTTTGTATTTAAATATCCAATTAAAAATATCTAGAACATCTAAACATATCCTTTAATTATGATTTAGGTTAGAATATGTTTAATCTTCTGTTTTTTACAGGTGAGAGTGGACAGCCTTAACCATGTAGTGTGTGGAACAGTCACTCGTTAAAACTGGAGATTTTGGAAGAATTGAAGATAAATGCATTGTTTCATTTTTTTTCTTTATTTCTGAAAACATTCAGTGTATTGGTTGTGGGTTGTTAGAGCAACACTTTTTAAGATCCTTAAGTGTTTAAAAGTTGTGTCAAAGGTTAATACAAGGTACAGTATCTTGGTCAAACTTTTTCTGTTATACCACAGAAGTGCATACATTTATGGTTTTAGGATATGAATGTGTGATGGTAGAAATTCATGACCACCTGTGATCAACATTTATAAAACTAAAGGTATGTGAATGTACTTACAGAGCTTTGTTGGAGGCTTTGACCACTGGCAGCAGCCTCAGAAGAGCCTCCTCTGAAGCAGAGTATTTCTTCAGGTCAAACTCATCCAGATCTTTTTCTGATGACAGTAAGATGAAGACCAGAGCTGACCACTGAGCAGGAGACAGTTTATCTGTGGAGAGACTTCCTGATCTCAGGGACTGTTGGATCTCCTCCACTAGAGAATGATCATTCAGTTCATTCAGACAGTGGAACAGATTGATGCTTTTCTCTGCAGACAGATTCTCACTGAGCTTCTCCTTTATGTACTGGGCTGTTTCCTGATTGGTCTGTGAGCTATCTCCTGTCTGTGTCAGCAGACCTCGTAGGAGAGTCTGATTGGTCTGCAGTGAAAGACCCAGGTGGAAGCGGAGGAACAAGTCCAGGTGTCCATTTGGACTCTGTAAGGCCTTGTTCACAGCAGTCTGATGGAGAGATTGTAGGTTTGGTTTGTTAAATAATTTAGACCAGAGGGATGTTGTTTGTTGTTCTTCCAGTAGATTGATTTGAGAGTTGATGAAGGTCAGATGGACATGAAGAGCAGCCAGAAACTCCTGAACACTCAGATGGATGAAACAGAACACTTTGTCCTGTTTCTGGTACAGTCCACTCTCCTCTTTAAAGATCTGTGTGAACACTCCTGAGTACACTGAGGCTTCTCTGATATTGATGCCACACTCTGTCAGGTCTGATTCATAGAAGATCAGGTTTCCTTTCTGCAGCTGATCAAAAGCCAGTTTTCCCAGAGACTCCATCATCTTCCTGCTCTCTGGACTCCAGTGTGGATCTGTCTCAGCTCCTCCATCATACTTGACCTTCTTCACTTTGGCCTGAACCACCAGGAAGTGGATGTACATCTCAGTCAGGGTCTTGGGCAGCTGTCCTACCTCTCTGGTTTTCAGGACACGCTTCAGAACTGTAGCAGTGATCCAGCAGAAGACTGGGATGTGGCACATGATGTGGAGGCTTCGTGATGTCTTGATGTGGGAGATGATCCTGCTGGCCTGCTCCTCATCTCTGAATCTCTTCCTGAAGTAGTACTCCTTCTGTGGGTCAGTGAACCCTCTGACCTCTGTCACCATGCCAACACAGTCAGGAGGGATCTGATTGGCTGCTGCAGGTCGTGTGGTTATCCAGAGGCGAGCAGAGGGAAGCAGTTTCCCCCTGATGAGGTTTATCAGCAGCACATCCACTGAGGTGGACTTTCTAGGGTCAGTTAGGATTGTAGTTTTGTGGAAGTCCAGAGGAAGTCGACACTCATCCAGACCATCAAAGATGAACACAACCTGGAAGTCTTCAAAGCTGCAGATTCCTGCTTCTTTGGTTTTAGTAAAGAAATGATGAACAAGTTCCACCAAGCTGAACTTTTCCTCTTTCAGCACATTCAGCTCTCTGAAAGTGAATGGAAATATGAACTGGATGTCCTGGTTGTCTTTGCCTTCAGCCCAGTCCAGGGTGAATTTCTGTGTTAAGACTGTTTTCCCAATGCCAGCCACTCCCTTTGTCAGCACTGTTCTGATTGGTTCATCTCTTCCAGGTGAGGCTTTAAAGATTTCTTCTTGTCTGATTGTTGTTTCTGGTCTGTCTGGTTTCCTGGATGCTGTTTCAATCTGTCTGACCTCATGTTCATCATTGACCTCTGCAGTCCCTCCCTCTGTGATGTAGAGCTCTGTGTAGATCTGATTCAGAAGAGTTGGGTTTCCTGCTTTAGCGATCCCCTCAAACACACGCTGGAACTTCTTCTTCAGAGCAGATTTAAGGTTACGCTGACAAACTGCAGCAAAAAGTTCTGAATGAAGAAAAATTATCTGTTAATTTTTTATAAAGTCAATAAGAGAACTTTTTATAAATACATGCTGGTTCGTTTCTTGCTACATTCATATAAATGTTTAATTTATTATCATATTAAATCTTTTTAGAAATCCTCTTACGGTCAGCCAGCTCCTCCTGCTTCATTCTCCTGAGGAAGTCCACTGTGATCTTTAAAATTGCCTCTCTGCTGCTCCTCTGCTCATCATCCTCCCTCTGACTCTCTAAGCATTCTGGGTAATCTGGACTCAGAACCTTCTGGATCTTCTTCAGCTCGTTCTTCACAAAAGTGATGATGTTGTCCTCCAGCAGCTGGAACAGAATACTTTATGAATGACCCAATCAGACTGAAATCATGGAGCCAAACATCAGATCCATGTTGGACACACTGAAAAGCCACTGGTCTACAAAGAGCAGCATGGAGATGACTGTGAACAGAATAGATGTTGTACATGTACAGACCATAATAATGGAGTCCAGCTGTGTTTGATGCTGCTGGGCAGACTGACCACTGGGAACCTCTGAGCTCTGCTGGTCCACTCTGTGGAGGAATCATAGAGAATTGGATCAAGTACAGGATAAAAATCCAGTAGTTTCTGCTCAAATAACTTCATTGGAATCAGGTTTATCAAGCTGTAAATTCTGTCCCATTCTGAAATTTTCGGAAATTCGTAGTATGTTTTTTTATGAACTCTCCTTCAGTGTTGATATGTTCACGATTATGTGGGGGATCATGCAGCACAAGCCCAAAGAAACCTTGAGACTTCATTGAACTCAAAAAAATCACTCACTGGAAGGTAAAACTGTGATGAACCATCAACTAACCATACAGATCACTGCTCCAAAATGAGAACATCATCAGAGTTTTTGCCTCCACCACTATAACTCCAAACTAGGTAGATTAGTGTAGTGCATGTGATTAATAACTGATTTTTATCAGAAATCCCTAAATGGATGCCATCTGAACCCTGTGATTTTTTTGTACAACAAACTTACAAATATACAAACTTTGTATATTTAATGAATAAGTGAAATTTTTATCTTCATACTAATAATACAATGGAAATTTTGTGCCATAGTTACTTTCATTAATAACTTCAGAAAGTTTAATTATTTTTTAAAGGCTGAGAAAACACCACTTTTAATCTCAATTGAAATCACCAAACACATTTTACATCCACTCTAAATGTCACAATCTGAAGATAACATCTGGTTTTGTTCTCTGTGATTAAATCTGAGCATCAGTATCGTGGGATTTATCCACTACATCCACACCACCGTGGTTCAGTGTTGTCCTGATGGAGTCTCATTAACAGCAGCCAGTATGATCCTGGCTTTAGCTGCTGGGTATCTTTGTCACTTCTCAGACTGTTTAACAGATCAGACACAAAGAGAATCAGAGCAGCTCTGTTCTTTAAAGACAAACATGAACCCACTCAGGTCATACTTTCCCCATAGATATGAGCATCACTGTCCTCAAACGGCAAATGACCAAGTCTAACATTTTGATCTTTTCTCTTTCATTGTTTTCTTTTTAATGAATCTTTGTAAAAATCTGAGGATGTTTGAGCTCATATTTATCCAGGAAAACACAAACATGTAAAGGAGTCATCACAGCTCTCTGACCTCGTTGGTCCAGGTTCATCACTGAAGTCTGGATGGTCACTCCTCATAGATGAACAGCTGGACTCTGCAGACTGTGACCTCTGACCTCTGCAGACACAAACATGTTTTATTCAATGATAAATTCTCTGATAAAGTCATTGAAGCAGCTGCGGATAATGCAGCTGTTTCCTGTCAGTAACAGTGCTAAATCCTCTTAGATTAGAGTACAGCTTTTTATAGGAAAACAAATGTCCCTGAATGCAACAGTGAGAAACAGTCTGCCTCTGTGGCTGTGATAGCTGCCGTTAGGAGCG